CTTCGATAGTCATGTTGAATGTTTCAACAATTTTCTCAAATAGAATGGAACTTTTCACTGTTTCACGTTTGTAAAAATCTATGACCACGAGAAGCAGTGTCAATTAAATATCTTTGTTGGTTTTTGAATAGGTCTCTCACGAGAAGAAGTGTTACAAGAGATCCTCGCTTTCTTGATTGCTGGCTTCGAAACGACATCTACCGCGTTGGCCTGGTTCATTCATGCAATGAGCAAGTATCCTGATGTACAACGCAAGATCAAGAAAGAGCTGATGAGTGTTGGTGATAATCAGAGCTTAACATTACATGAACTTGATTCTTTAGTCTATTTGGATTGTGTTATCAATGAAACGCTGCGCTTTTATCCAGTTGTTCAGGGAATCTTCCGTACGTTGACAGTTGATGATCGTCTCCCTGAAAATAATGTTCAATTGTATAAAGGTGATACAGTTGTCATTCCATTTAACACTCTTGCACATGATCCTCGATACTGGTCAATCGATCCTGAACGTTTTGCTCCAGAGAGATTTTTAGACGAGGATAAAAATCATCATCCATGCGTATTCATGCCATTTGGTGGTGGTCATCGCCAATGTATTGGACAAGGTTTAGCACGGTTTGAACTTAAAGTGATTATTGCAAGAATGTTACAACAAGTTACATTTGGCGATGGTGGACCGAAAGTTAATTCAGGTGGATTTGTAACAGGTCTCACTATTACACCGAAAAATGTTGGTGTTACCATCGAGTTTCCTTGATCAAAATGACTTCACGAGTTTTCAATTTATTTTCGAACATTCTAACTAATTTAGCGTTATATTTAATCATTACTCATAAATTATGGATTTTTTTTCCTAATAAAAAAAAAAGAAAAGAATATCAGTAATAATTATCTAGATGAAAAATTAAAAGCTTGTTGTTGTTCATCCAAGTTGAAAACACGAAAGTCTCACAGACACGCATCATTGAGAGTCGACACATACAGAAAAATATTTTTTCTCTTTAAGCAATTCTCATTTACAATCGATGAAAGTTTATTCACAATATTCTCGATAATTTAATACAAGATTTAGTCGATGCAATGTAAATTTTCCAACATTCGCTCACCTATTCTCCTATTATATATTAAAAAGTCGTCTTACGTTTTAATATATTTTCATTTTGATTTATATTGAATCATAAAAAATTACGTTCACAACTCTTCATTATATTGCTAGAGTAACCTAAATAATTCTATCGATTGTTTAAACGAACTCAATAGTTGAAACGGCTATTAACTGTGACAAAATGGTATCAGTAAGCTAAAACATAGGTAGAATTAGAGGTGATCCTTTACCTTTATTTTCTAAAGATAAATGATTGGAAAAAAAAGAGTATCATTTATTTTTTAAAGATAAAGGAAAGTAAAGATAATGGGTCACCTCTAGTCTATAGTTAAATACACTTTACTAGAATTTTGATCTCAGGCATGGTAAATACCAGCAACTGTAATGATGGTATTTCAACCTAGAGTTCTGCCTATAAGTAGATCTTATTATCCGTAGAAATTTCTGAAAATTTTAGCTCTAAATAATATTTCTTTCCTGAGATACTGAAGTCTCAAAAAAAAATAGTAAATTCTAGTATCTTTCGTGAAATATGAGTGATTTTTGAGGATTCTGTGTCTTGGCAAAAGAATATTATTTCCAGGACATTCTACTGATTATTAGTCCTGCCTATCGACAAAATATGAAGTCGATATATATGGTCATTCGAATTATTGGTAGTTACTATGTCTAAGGCTAATACTCCAGTAAAATACTTATAACACCGAACAGAAGGCCTAGAGACACTTCTCGTTTTGACGTATTCCATATTACACTCAGTGTAGATGTGTGATGAGTGTTGGTATTTCTTTTTCTCACATCCACATGTGTTACTACACATATTGACGGTTATCAAAATACAAACTTCTCTTACCGTTGTCATATAATCACTTATTACTTTCTTCTTTATTTTAATCAATCATATTTTTTGACAAAAACAACAAAAAATACAAGCAGGCAAAGTTAAAAAGATGTTTTCCTATATCGAGAAATATTATTTGTGCTTAAATTTAACGTTTGAATTCACACTTGAGTTGTAATAATTCCCGTTCATGTTTACTGGATATTAAATAAAAATGAGTCTGTTTAAAAAAGAGATCTCTATCAAAATTATCTTTAATTTCTTCTGCTCCTTCTTGAATCCAAATTAACATTTTAACATTGAGTCGTTTCAAGTTTGGACAGACAACTTTCAAGAGTTCTTGCCAAATATGACTCTGCAAAGTTTTTTCATTTGTAATACCTGATAAATGAAGTTTTTGTAAATTAGGCATAGAACGTATGAAAACAAGGATATCTTTCATTTCAATAGTATACCAGGTGAGATCAAAAATTTCAATAGAAGGAAAATTCACATTCGATACGATTGGTGGAATATTTTGAAGATAATGCCGGTTATTAATATTTTGATCCTCATTAACATTTATCATAACACGTAAAATACGCAAATGAAATAAATGAACGATGAATCCTTGCAACTTTTTCCATGAACATGGTGTACGTAAAACAAGTTCTTCAATCGAGCATGTGTGTTCATGAGATATTTGTGGTATATTCAAATAGCCACCACGGAAATCTAATTCTAGATATTTCAGAAAAGGTAAACGACATATATATGTTAAAGATTCTTGACTTAATTGTGATTCATTATGAGAATAAATCAAAGTGATACATTTTAGTAGAGGTAATATCGAGAGTTGAGTTGAAAGTATCGTATCAATATAAACATCTACCAATGTAATTGATTGAATGTTTAAGAAATCTTCCAATCCGATTTGAATTGTTGTCATACATAAACTAATAACTTGATATTGATCGACGAGAGAAAGAAGTGTAGCAGTTAGAAGATCATCATTAGTTAGACAAAGTTGAAATTTCATGCGACTTTCGCGAAGAATATCACTGATATTAGGAAGAACATCCGGATAAAATAAATGAAAAAGTTGATCGATTGAGAAGTAACGAAATATATCTAAGAGAATATCGGGACAGAGATCCCAAAATGTTGTCAACATTATCTAAAACATCAGATACCGAATTTCGAGAAATCGATCACAGATTCGGATGCGGTGAATCAGATAGCCATTGGCCAAACTATATACAATACATATAGGGGCGTCTATTTATATTTACTTTCAATTCAATTTCTGCGTAAATTAAATTATCAATAATTTATATTTAAAAAAACAGAAATCATTATTATCTATATTTATAATAAGTGTAATTTTTGAAAATTTATATTTCTTTTAAATACAAATTATTGATAATTAATGTTTATTTTTAATTAACAGGAAGATAACACCCTTAAATACATGATGACACGTGACTGAGCACGTGTCAACAAATATACAAAGACATAAAAAGACAAAAAAAACAACATACTTTATCTCTTATGATCTTCCTTTCAGTGTAGGAAATAAGTTGAGAATGTCTAAACTTAAGCTAACGTGGTTTTTCAAGAAAAAGAATGTGTTT